TTGGTATCCGATATCGATCCGTGGGAAGGACCGCCTCGTCGGCGTGTTCCAGCACCGTGGTGATCCCACTTAATACGAACGAGAGGAACATCATGCTTCCGGAGCCGTCGAACCTGCCGGTCCAACACAGCTACCGGTCGCTCCTCGTAAGATAAATCTGGATGGATCTGAATATCAGTATGCGGAATGACATGATCGGGGTCGCACACGTACTTATGTAACATGGATACATGGATAACATTATGAACACTGGACAACTCGGGAGGTAAGGCCAATCGATAAGCAACTTCGCCCACTCGCTCGAGAACTTCGAACGGGCCAATGAATCGAGGGTGCAACTTCCCTCTCTTCCTGAATCGAACAACTCCGCGGAGTGGACGAACTCTGGGAAAAGCTCGCTCGCCAACCTCGAACTGGATATCTCGTTGATGCTGATCGGCTGATGATTTCTGTCGACTCTGAGCTGTCTTGAGTCTCTGCCGGATCAACTCGACCTGTTCTATGGTTTCCTCGATCATCTTCGGACCGAGTACTTGACGCTCACCGACATCGTCCCAATAAAGAGGGGAACGACACTTACGACCGTAAAGTGCCTCGTAAGGAGCCATCTGAATAGAAGCATGATAACTGTTGTTGTAAGCGAACTCGACCAATGGCAATAACAACTCCCACTTAGCACCCCTGTCAACAACCAAAGCTCGTAGCATATCCTCCAACGTCTGAATAGTCCGCTCGGTCTATCCGTCAGTCTCCGGATGGTAGGCTGAACTGAACTCTAGTCTCGTGCCCATCGCCTCGTTCAAACTCTGCCAGAATCTACTAGTGAATTTGTGGTCTCTGTCTGACACGATAGTAACAGGCACTCCGTGGAGTCGAATGATCCCACGGGTATAAATCTCAGCCAACTTGTCCAAAGACATATTCATCGATACTGGTAAGAAGTGAGCAACCTTAGTCAACCTGTCGACCACGACCCAAATAGCATCGTGATGTTCAGACGACCTCGGTAACCCCGTGAAAAAATCCGTAGTAACTTCCTCCCACTTCCACTCTGGAATCGCAGTGGTTGCAGGAGGCCCAAGGGACTCTTATGCTCTACTTTGACTTGCTGACAGGTTAAACATTTCCTCACAAAGTCGGCTACGTCCTTCTTCATCCCTCGCCACCAGAACGACCTTTTCAGGTCATGATACATCTTCGTGCTCCCTGGGTGGGCTAAATATGGTGCGGTATGAGCCTCAGTCAATATCTCCTTCCTCAACGTTCGACTTTTGGCACAATAATCCTGCCTCGAAATTCCAAGGCCCCATCAGTGCCTCGGTGAAAACCCTCGACGCCTCTGGCGCAGACTTTGGCATCAATGGCATGAACAAATTCATCAGAAGCCTGCTCCCGCCAGATCCTTTCCCTCAACGTCGGTTGAATATGCATATAACTGACACTCCCCATAATGGCCGTAGAAAGTGCATCAACAACCTGAATCTGCATCCGGGCGAACTCCTGGATAAGACGGCTTTGCTGAGTAACAACATACGTCAAGTCACCCTTCACCTTACGGCTTAGGGCATCAGCAACGACATTCGCCTTCCCCGGAAGGTACTGATTCGTGCAATCAAAATCCTTGACGAGTTCCAACCAACAGCGCTGTCTCATGTTGAGCTCCTTCTGAGTGAAAATGTATTGTAAGCTCTTATGATCTGTGAAAATTTTGCATCGACCGCCGTATAAATAATGTCGCCAAATTTTGAAGGCGTGAACAACTGCGGCTAGCTCCAAGTCGTGCGTCGGATAGTTCTGTTCATGTGGCTTTAGCTGGCGTAAAGCGTAAGCAACGACCTGGCCATCCTGCATGAGTACGCATCCCAAACCCTATCTTGAAGCATCACTAAAAATGGTGAAACTCCGAGAAGGATCGGGAATAGTCAACACTGGTGCTGTGGTTAGCCTCTTCTTGAGCTCCGAAAGCTCGATTCACATTGATCAGTCCACTCGAACTTCACAGACTTCCTCGTCAGCTGGGATAATGGAATGGCAATCTTTGAAAAGCCCTCAATGAATCTGCAGTAATAGCCAACCAAACCGAGAAAACTGCGAACCTCGGATGGAGTCTTCGGTGTCGACCATTTCTGAACAGCAACAAATTTGGATGGATCAACCTCGATACCTGCCTGAGTAATAACATGGCCAAGAAAGGCTACTCGCTGGAGCCAGAATTCGCATTTGGAGAATTTAGCATATAACGTTTCTCGTCTAAGGGTTTCAAGGACAACCCTCAGATGCTCCTCGTGTTCCTTCTGGCTCCTGGAGTAGATAAAAATATCATCAATGAAAACAATAACAAATTGATCGAGGTAAGGATGGAAAATACGGTTCATCAGGTCCATGAAAACCGCTGGAGCATTACTGAGGCCAAATGGCATGACGACGAACTCATAATGACCGTAGCGAGTACGGAAAGCGGTCTTAGCAATGTCTGACTCCTTGATTTTCAGCTGATGGTAGCCTGATCGTAAATCAATCTTGGAGAAAACACAAGCTCTCTCATTTGGTCAAATAAATCGTCAATTCTGGGAAGCAGATATTTATTCTTGATCGTCAACCGGTTAAGATCCCGGTAGTCGATACACATGCGCATAGAGCCGTCCTTCTTTTTAATGAAAAGAATGGGTGCTCCCCATGGTGAAATGCTCGGTCGGATGAAACCGAGTCGCAATAATTCCTGAATTTGTGCCTTAAGCTCTTGCAATTCTTTCGGCGCCATTCTGTAAGGGGCTCCTGGAATAAGGTCGATAAAGAACTCTACCTTCCGGTTAGGTGGTCCTCCTGGAAGTTCGTCCAGAAACACGTCCGCAAACTCACGAACAACAGGAACGTCGTGAGGTGTTCGTGCCTTCGGCGAATCATCGATAAGGCTCACAAGATAACCCTGACAATCGCCTCGTCGTAACATCTTTTTGGCATTTGCCATAGAAATAACATGAGGCAAGGAACGAGTCTTGGTGCCAAAGAAAGTAATAGAATCATTTCCCGGAAGATAAAGAGTAATCTCCCAGTCATGGCATCGAATATATGCATGAAAATATGATAGCCAATCCATGCCGAGAATGAGGTCAAAATCCTTCATCTCGAGAACATAAGCGTTAGTAGACAATTTACAGCCACCGATAGAAAGGCTGAGATCTGTAGCTTTAGCAGTAGTCACTATCTTTCGTCCTGAGGCTAAACTCACCTCAAGTGGATCGACAGCGGTAATACTATGTACTCTGATGGCATCAAGACATCGTCGTGATATAAAAGAGTGAGTTGCTCCAGTATCAAATAAGGCGAAAACAGGAACATCGTTAAGCATAAGCATTCCTGACATGGTACCTGGTTGTTGTTCCGCCTCGGCCTGATTGACCGCATAAACTCGTGCCTGCTGTCTGCCCTCTACTGCTGCTGGGGTGGCCTCTGAGCCTGTTGTCGGGGTTGCTGCTGCTGTTGTGGTTGCTGGGGCTGCTGTGGTGGCTGCTGGAGTTTTTTCGGACAGCGATTAGCAAAATGTCCGGGCTCGTGACAATAATAACAAATATCCTGGCCAATGCGACACTCTCCGCGATGGAGTCATCCACAAGTGGGGCATGGTGGAATCTGTTGTGGCCTCGGACGGGTCCTCCTGTCAGTCTGGGCGCCTTTCCCCTTCCTCTTCTTGTCCTTCGGTGGTTGGGCAGCCGCTGGTGGAACTGGTGGAGCTGTAGATGATTGGGCAGGGGCAAATGGTTGAAGACGATCATGGTTAGCCTCCCTCCGAATGCTGGCGTCGACCTCCTGGGTGATAGAAACGGCACGAGCGTAGGTCTGGACTCCGTGACCTACAATGTTGTGACGGACTGTTGGATAAAGCCCGTCAGTGAAACGTTGTGCCCTCTTTGCCTCTGTATTCACCAGATCGGGAACAAAGGCCCCGAGTCTAGTGAATTCTCTCTCGTACTCATCAACAGAACGAGTACCCTATTTGAGCGCCAGGAACTGACGCTCCATCTCTGCTCAGTAGTACGTGGGATAGTATTTCTCACGAATCAACTCTTTGAACCTGTCCCATGTACAACCTTCCTTTTCACCGGGGCGCATACTCCAGTAACCATTCCACCAGAGTCGTGCATCCCCCGTCAACTGAAGATGTGCGCATAAAACGCGATAACGATCTGGACAATCCATGACCTCAAAAATCATTTCAAGGCCCTGAACCCATTCGTCCACAACTCGCGGGTCTCCCTGGCCGGAAAGTTTCTCAGGATAGTCGTGAAATTGTGCGACTACAGTGGCTTGGGGGACAACCGGACGATCGGGTTCCCTACGTGGCGGCATCTGAACATTGAGCAAGTTCAACATTATTGAACACATGAAAAATACTTTTGCTGATTAATAGAGCGCACAAATCTCTTGACGAGTTACTTAACATGGCTGGGAAATACTGACATTAATCATGGGAAAACTGGCATTAAATCATGGATATACTGAACTATGGGTCCTGAACATGATTCGAGCATCTTAACTAAATCATAATTATGGTTTTCTGAGCATAGACGTAGTAATTTGTTTATAATTTAAAAACATGAATCAGCACTTACCTGTAGTCGCCGAGGCGTGAGCATGACGTGTTCAGGTTTTTGAAAAATTTCTGACTCGTAAAAATTTTCAGAGACGCAGAAACGCGCTCTGAAACCAACTGTAACACCCCGCTATTTCATGAAAATCAGAGTGCGTTTTTCGCAAAGTTTTTCAAAATAAAAACATTTAATTTGCGAAATACTAATTCGGAGTGCTACCATGATACATGACTTTATCTGAAAACCGTTATTTTAGTTTTAAAGAGAAACGGTTTATTATAACATAATAACCGACTGGAAATTGGATCAAAAGCTAAGTTTGGCAAATAGTCGAAAATCAGCGGAAAACGTAGCGTAGCCATAACATTTTAAACATATAAACAAGATCCTGAACCGACCGCCAGCTCACTCCTCGGCTCCGACCCTGTGACCTGAAAAACATGAATAATGTGGGGCGTGAGCACTAAATCCTTTGTGCTCCATAGAACTCGTACTAAAGTAAACAGTGAAAATAATTGCAATATCATGATCCTGGCATATACATAACTGAACTGAAACCGGTACTGAATAAGCATGAACTGATAATCATCAACTGAATGATACCTCATCTGCCAGCATAAAATTGTCGGACACCATGTGCACAATCTAGTGGGCAGATTAAGCCACTAGAACCCAGAATGGACCGGCGACCATTCCAAGCGGATACTGACTGATAATACATACCTCAAACATGGTAGAGTAATTATAATCAATGT